GGTGGTGGTGGTGGTCGTGGTGGTCGTGGTGGTCGTCGTGGTCGTCGTGGTCGTCGTCGTCGTCGTCGTCGTCGCCGCCGCCGCCGCCGGCGGCGTCGTCGTCGTCGTCGTCGTCGGTGTTGTCGTTGTGGTTGTGGTTGTTGTCGTCGTCGTCGTCGTCGTCGTCGTCGTCGTCGTCGTTGTCGTTGTCGTCGTCGGTGTTGTGGTTGTGGTTGTGGTTGTTGTTGTTGTCGTTGTTGTTGTTGTTGTTGTTGTTGCTACTGTCGCTGCTGGTGTTGCTGTGGGACGTTTGCACAAACCCACGAGAGGGTGGCTCCTGAGCCTCCCGAATCTCCGAGCCTCTCCCAACCCTGTGATTTGTAGCCGGAATTCTCTCGGTTTGCCTTGACCCCCTCCCTTGACGTCTGACTTGTCCTACGAATAAAAGGACAAGTCAGACATCGAAGCGGGGGGCAAGTCAGACCTCAAGGCGGGGGGTGGGGGGGCTCAAAGGCAAACGGAGAGGAAGCAGAGAAAAGCAGAAATTCTCCTCTACACCCCCCCCGCCCTGATGTCTGACTAGACCCCCCAACCCTCGCCAGACCACCCAGACAACCCCGTTTAGGAGCAAGGGCTTCGTCCTTTTTAGAGGCTCGGGCCAGATCTCCCGAACCCACCCCCAGCCCGGCCTCAAGAAGTAGATTTTGGCACCTCAGGCGTGGACCCCTAACATGAGCTACGGTCGAAATTCCATACCTGGCAAATGGACATGGGCTTGGGGTTTTCGTCTTTAATTGTCTCCCCTATCGTGCTTCAGCATGTTGACTTTTTCACAAGAATGACTACGTAACACGTCTCAAGCGCATGGCTCGCTGCATCATGGTTATCGTTTTGTTTTGTCGCCCCTCTCGTTTTACAGGGTTTGCAGTGTCGGCCACTAAAGTCATGTCCACCCGAGACATGATATAATGCCTGGAAATTTTGACTGTCGCTCACATGTCTGCAAGCTTCGTATTCCTTCGGAGCTGCGGCAAAGTTTAGAATATAATCTACATATGACATATCCTAGAACCTTATTAGGGAGCCATTGGGGAGCCTTGACCCCTTTGCCCGGGCTCTCAAGCAATATATGATCTAATCCCCTATACATAACCCCCCTCGAGGGAATTTAGACAAAAGCTCACATGCCCCTAGCATGCAAATACATGCACATGCCGTGATTTTCTGGTTCGCTTTTCCATGCTCAAGACTCCAACGGTCATGGGCTCCCCTACTACACACCTCTATACTACCCCCTAGGTTCCCCCTTCAATTCAGGTTTAAGGATAAGTAGGGCTTGATACAAGTAAATTAAGGAGGAATCTAGCAGAGGGTAGTATAGGGGGGTAGTAGGGGATCCCCTGAAAGTAGAAGAAACAAGAAGAAATGATGGGCAATGCATCCCCTACGCCAGTGCTAACAACATGCTCCTTGAAAGGTGAACTGGCGCACGATCTTGTGTAGGAATAACACTGGACCGAGCCCAATGCACCCAAATTTCGCAGAAGCTTCAGCTTATGAATGGGAAGGTTGTGCAACTGCTACAGCCTGCAGGTTCGGGGTCAGAATGCTTTCAAATTGAAACCTTTTCGTTTCGGAGCCAGCTTCCTCTGGATTGTGGCTAGATATGGGCCTATGGGGAACCGGATCACTTTCACATGCGCCAGCATAGTAATGTGCACACGTCTGTCGGCGGAGCTTGGGATTGAAAAGAGCTCTCTGTTTCTGTTTGGCACGTAGCTGCACTATGGCCTTGAAAATCCCGGATGACTTGTGTTTCGGGATCTTGCATACTTGCTGCAAGAACCTTCTCTCTGCGAACAAACCCCAATTCCGAAACTAAAATCACCGATTCGGAAGCTAAAAATTCCCTGCTTTGGAAACTAAAAATCACCGATTCAGAAACTAAAAATTCACCAATTCAGAAATTAAACTGAAACTACACTTCTTGAAGCCATGGGGGCTGGGGGGGTGGGGAGTGGGGCAATTTCTTGCATTCCGAATCAGTGGGTCATAGTTTACGAATCAGGCGTTTTAGTTTCCGAATTAGGCTGTTCAGTTTCCGAATCAATGGTTTTAGTTTCCGAATCAGAGTTTCCGAATCAGCCAGCATTTAGGCAATTTAGGGGCTTTGTGTGCTTGGAGATATGCCCACAAAGCTGCTCTCATGTTACAGCTGTTCAGGCATCGTTTGGTTTCACCCCTTTTTCAATTCATACGAAGGGGCGCCATCCATTGCAAGCACGCTACATCTCGATCCAGGATGTTTCTGACATCTGCACACTCCACGAAGCAATGCCCATTCAAGGTTGTCTTGAAGACACCCTTCCTCGGTGACACGGGCAACCCCGTGGCGCCGCAATAGTCAAGTCAGAACTGTCATGGAACAAGTTCTTGGCAGTAGCCTAATCCGCAAGACATGCTATTGCCAAATCACACATGCAAGATTCATGACGTGTTGAAGGCATTCGAGATAGCCCTCGGCAATCGTGCACTTATCAGGAAAAAGCAAAGGCAACATCGGCCATGGAGTCAGACTAAGAATGCAGGTTGGAGTCAGAGCAAAGTTGCCGGGGGCGCCTGGGTTCCAACAAGAAAAAGCAGGGCGATCGCCCGGAATCTGCAACTATACCTGATGGTAATTGGAACATCAGAACCTGCGGCCTGTAAACTCAGATCTCTGCCTCTAAAAGTAAAGGGGTGATAGGCATATCAGAACAAGTCAGACTAGGGACGGAAGGATTTGAGAAAGTCCTATGCGCTCAGCTCCGCCGATTAAATCTTGGCCACTATCCATCAGCGTGCAGCCGGACATATGCTGAGAGATGGATAAGGGATAACGTTGTCCAAGTCCTACCAGTAGCAGCGACATCAAAACCGAAGGCCCGAGATGCTTGACTTCAGCCGAAGAAGATTTGCAGCTTGAGGCTGAGGATCTTGTGAAGGGCAAAGGCTAAAAGCAACGTGGTCTCCTGCATGCATGCTATGGTTAGGTGGCAGTCATCAAGCAGGCGTGCGGTGCCACTTGCTTCCCGTATCTATGAAGGCCTTACACAAAAGCTTCTTCCATTCGATGGCAGCTAGGAGACTCATCGTGAGCAGGAAGCACAGTACGGAATCATGTAAGGACTGCAAGAACTTGTATCAATAAGCTGAGCCCATCCTGGACCTGCCAGACCCTGCGCCAGTACTTGTAGCCCCACAAACACATCCTGCCTTGCGGGATGTCCAGCTGCAATCATGCATTTACTGTTCCGAACAAGTGAGTAGATGCAGCCAGGAACCCAAATCGTTCTCTGACGAGCTTGCAATCCTGGGCCACGAGCATGAGCAGCAAGCAAAACGATGCGTGATGAAGCACCCTCCCGCCGTTCACGGTACAATGCGTTGCTCATGTTGCCTCTGCACAAGCTTAGCCAGTGAACTGTACGTATCATACATTCTGGCATTCGCTTGGAGTGCTGACACTCTGTTTCGCACAAGTCGCAATGATGCCGTATTCTTCCTCCTTGGCGAACAAGAAAAAGCAACCAACATTTTGAACTGCCCCTGCTCCTTGGTGCAGGGGGCCAATTGCATCCCGACCAGTCTCAATCAATCTCAGTCATGCCTGTCTGCAAACCCGATGCAGGAGAAAAACTTGTCACCGTCCCGGTGTACATCATCGAAGCCTGACAGCGGGCAGCATCAGCGTGATTTCATGAAGTGCCTTTGGCAAAAAAAGAGTCAATATGCAACCTGTCCAAAAGGGTACCGGGAGTCAGCGCAGGCAAACTCAGCAGTTTGATGAAAAGTGGTCTCGGAAAGCATGCAACCTGCTCATCCACTGTGCTGGCGAATCGTATCCTCATGCAACCTCATGAAGGTATGTTTTTGCCGGTTGCCGAAAATTCCGCATTGCCGGCATTCGGATGCCGTAGTAAGGGAGCACAAACATGTTTGCGCAGCTTGACACTGCATCAAACAATGTCACAAAGAAAGGAATACTGCAACGGCACGTCTCTACGCAAGCCGTGTGCAACAAGCCAAGCAAAGAGCAACTGCAACGTTTCTCAATCGGCGTAAAAACCTTTGGAGTCGGTGAACATGATGTTGAATCGTAGTTTCTGAATCGGTCCAAAAAGTTTCCCAAATCGCGGTGCCGGATTTGTAAAAAAAAATCTGCATCATCGACTCAACCAGGCTTCATCATCTTGTAAGACACAATGACACAAAGCCGATGCTGGACATGCCTGCATTGGATCGGCTGGTAGCGGGGTAATGCCTGCAAAGCATACACTCGGATCATGTGACATCTTGGAGCAAGTCAACTCATCGTTTTGAATCTCCTGTGCCTGAGGCCACCAACTGCGGCTCGGGCTCGATTCTTCGACGCTTCGCTGACGGCATCAACTCCTGCACCGCTTGTCCTCCAGCGTCTGTCATCGACTGCACCTCGTGGCTGTGCTACAGCAGGGATGTCAAGAGCACCTGCCTGACCTTTGCCGAGCAAGCTAGACCGAGCAGAAATCAAATGAAATCAGCAAAGTCATGAAGATCCAAGAAGCCTGTATAGCCTGTGGCTGCCCCTTCGGCCCAATTCCAACTTGGAAGCGCACTTGCTCCCCGACGTAGTGGCCAGAAAATTCCCGTCCTGAGCAGCTGACCGGGAGTGAGGTGTGATGCCATGGGCTGCACACCAAGATACCGATGGCAAGCTGTGACCGCTCTGTCTGCAAAGCACAACTTACCATTCAAACTAGCGCTGAGCAGCCATGCATGAAAGTATCGGAGCCGAACATGTCTTTGACCGCCTAAGCGAACCAACAACTGACGATCGCTTGCCGCTCTTTAGCTGCTTGACTCTTTCTTTCATGCCATCGCAAAGAGAAACTCAACTGACTTCCCACCTGTATTGACCTTTGCTTGTCTGATGCTGCTTTATTTGCTTTCACGTTATGCTGCGGCACCTTGCAGTCGATGAAGCCATAGTTGTTGCCTAAACTCGCATCTTGCTTGCTGGGCAAGAAAGCCAACGGGCATGATTATGCCAAGCGTCTCTCGTTGAATGACTTGATGAATCCTGAAACAGGCCTACTTACAAAAAACAAAAAAAAGGCGTTCTGGACAGTTGGGGACCAGCAAGGTCCTCGCTCGCACCGCATCGTAAGAGCTATGCATCTTGCTGAGTATGTTGCAACAAGTTGCTGTCTCGTCTTTACACCAAACGCAACCATATGTTTGGAGGGCTTGCTAAAGCAGATTGTCACTAGCCGCTGGCCTGGATGTGGCTGCTCTGATGCTATGGATCTGGCTAAACATTTGCATTTGCTGTTGGCATGGGATGAGGCTGCAACCGGAGCGTGTCCTGATGCCATTATGCCGCTTGGCTTTGGCCCGACAGCACCGTCACGAGGCGGTCCCAGCCTTGCACCTCGGAGTTGTAAGAGTTGGCTCAGCTGCTTGGGGATTTGGTAATCCTGCCATGACCGACTCTGAGTCCTTGAGTGAGAAATTACAGCAAGACTTGAGCTGATCACCCAGGCATCTATGGTTGGGAGTGGGGCCAAAAGGCCTTCAGTTCCTCCAGTCCGGCTTGCAAGCCCCAATTCAAATCAACTGGAGTCTGAGAAAAGGCAGCTGTTGCCAGCTTGCTTGTCAGGCTTACAGCTGATTTGCCTCGTCATGCGCCGTGCCAGCCTACCGAAAATTTGCAATGCAACAATTCAAGGGTGCACCACGGGATTTCCAAAAGTTCTTTACCTGTAGAGCCAGCCAATCCGCATAGAGCCACCTCAACATACCTCAACAATTGATTGACCCAGCCCTTCCAACAAAGCAACAGAAATGTCAGTGCAGGCTGGATGCCATGATTCACGAAGTTGTTGCCCGTGGCTCTGTCCTGGCGAAGCTGTCAAAGTCTCACGTCGAGCTAGTCGCAGCTAGTCTGCAAGTATCATCGAGTATCGCTTGAGACAGTAGAACGTGATACAGCCTGGCCTGAGGCCCCACAGAGGCCATCCTGTGCACTGCAGCCCAGCCCTCATCCGGAGCAATCTCAACCTGCAAAAGGCTCGACTGGCTGCATGACACCTGCTCGAATGTCTGATGAAAGTTGAAGCCGCCTGCAGTGACAGATCCGGTGGCGGGGGCGACCATTCTGAATCACATACGACCACATAAGAAGCGTTCCTTAGCATGGCTCTGGCATCCTGAGACTACAGTGGTGGAGTCCCTGACGGCTGTGCAGACAGGCTTCGGCATGCCGCTCGCGTTCAAGACAGCATTGAAACCTCCGGACAACATCTTGTACGACGGGCTGTGCGGTGTGCCACGCTTTAATTGTGGCCGAGGAACAAACAGCTTCACCATGCACAAAAGAGCATGCCAAGTCTTTGTTCACGTAGACATCGCCTTGTGCAGATGACTTTCTGATTCTGGAGAGCCGGACTGTGCCGGCCTTGCTTGCCCAAACAAGATTCACTGGCATACCTTGCTCACCAGATGCTGTCCAACGGCGACCGAAGAAGCCCTTCACAACATCGCATTCAATGAAGCCATACCCCTGCGATCCCGTCTTGAAAGTGCCGCTCCTTGCAAGCGCAGGTCAGAGAGCAAGAGAATGGGAAAAGGTTCGAGAAGCAGAGAAGTGGAAGGGGTAGCCCAGGAGCTGTTACAGCATCTTTGCCACACTGGAGCTTGTGAGCAACAGCATGACAGAACAAGCAAACAGCGTAGATGCACCGGTGCCTAGTTTTCGGATTGTCGTGTATATATATATATATATATGGTACCCCCCCCGGTTATCTACCTAGTTCTGGGTTTTAGGCCTCATTGGGAGGGGGGATAGATTATTTTGGGTTTTAGGCCTCATGGGGAGGGGGGGTATAC